ACATGAACTGACACTAAAATGAGTCTGAGAAACAGTGTGAACAAATAACACAGTGCTCCAGTCTCTCTAATGCACACATAGAAACACACACACTCACTCTCACACACACTCTCTCTCTCTCTCTCTCTCACACACACACACACGCTCACACACACACTCTCTTTCTCTCTCTCTCACACACACACAAACACGCTCACACACACACTCAGATTCTGGTTATAGTAACATTATCTCTCTGTCTGTATATATATATATATATTATATGACACTTTTTTTTTTATAAAGAGCTCATATCAAACTGCTTAATAGCCCAGAACAAACATATAAAAATAAAACAGTCATTTTGTTGATCATAAAGTGTTTTTCTAATCTTCAGTAGAGTTGTATACAGCACTCTTCCTTAATCTGGTATAAAACATCATCATCATGTCATTTCTAGTGAATGAAGTCCAACACAATTAAAACCCTGATTCAGTTTGTGTTCCAGCGATGAACATTAATCAAACATCACGATTAAACAAAACTCATCACAAGCACATTTACAAACTACGCCACACGTTTACGCATAAATGAATCTGTCGCAAACCTTTGATGAGGTCTGAACGAGCTACTTCTGGTGCAGTGTTAATCTTGTGTGAGATGATGGTTGGGTTTTGTGTCTAATGTCTTAAACAGTAGCTCCAGAGTTCACTGCATTCATGGAAACTGCTGTAGTTTAATAAAATAAAGCCTCAACATCCACAAAGCGAGTGAACGTTTGGCTTTCTTCGCTCTAGTGGGATTGTGTCGCGTGTCTCATCATCATCACAACCGTACATTCATCACATCATCACTCGCTCAACGAGCCCGTCTTACAACAGAGTTTCTTTACAACTCCTATTCACACTTCTGCTTCGTCCGATCGCTTGACATTCAGCACACTCGTCTCATCGTGTGTCTTTGGTGTGCATATTTTTATATTCATGGCTTGTAGATGCTTCACGAAATCCCTAAGAATTACATCTAGGCGTGTGACAGAAGGGTTATTACCCATCAGACACTGGGCGAGGATCACAGTGAAGTGAGCAGATGCCAGAATCTGCGGTCCATTATTCAAAAATATTTTTAAGATCTGAGTGTGTTTTAGTTCCAGTCAGAAGGAACATCGGCTCCAGAAAAACCCGTCAGAACGGCCCTGTGATCGCTTATAAAGCTTGAGTTCAGCTGTTCATGTGTGTGTGTGTGTGTGTGTGTTAGTGTGTGTGTGTGTGTGTGAGTGTGTGTGTGTTAGTGCGTGTGTATGTGTTTGTGTGTGTGTGTGTGTGTTACAGTGCAGTCCCTGAATGATGACGCAGTTTGTGCGGTTTCATCTGAAATAGTGACGATCTGAATCAGAGCACACATACATGTTTTCCATATTCTTCATATTCCTCAGCGTTTGATCTGAGTGACATGTTCTTCTCTCTCATGTCATCTGAACTTAAAGCACATCTGGATGGGTCTCAAGCTCTAGAAACTGAACAAAATCTGAATGAACTCTCTGGTATTGTTTATTTGGGAGTCACACTTGTGTTGTTCGAGGCCATAATCATGCAATAACTTTATTTTTGTGAAATGAATACACTATATTTAATTTCACAAAAACTATTTCATGTTATTAATTAATATTTGTATCTAAATTATGGACTATTTTTGGTATAAACTGTACAAAAAAAAATTATAAAATAATTTTATATAACTTTTCAATTAATGCATCATTTAAGTTAAAAATAGATCAAAAGTATTTAAAATCCATTGAATCCATGCAGATTTGTTCCACCTTGTGGAAACAATAAAGAAAATCACCTGTAATACCATGGTGTGGCCATTAGATGGCTGTATAGCCATATATACAGTATATATTCAGTGCAGTGCATTCCTTAGTTACTGAGCAGTGTTTTCAGGCATAACCGCTTAAGTTTTTGTCACCTCCTTCATTGCTGTGCATTGTGGCTGATTTGTAGATTGTACACACAAAAACATCTTTGTATTTTCGTATTTTTGCCTATTTCCCATTCATTTCCAATGGTGGTCATTTTTGACCATGAACAACACGAGTGGGACTACTAAACTTACTGCTAGTTTTAACGCGAAATAAACATGAATGAACATCTCACGCCGCATGTAATCACTCAATCAGTGTTTCAACTGAGGAAAGATGTCAAAACAAAATATCACGTAGCATTTCATTTACCTCAGGCAGTCATCAGTGTCTACAGCTCGTTAGTTCGCTAGAGAAACGAAGTCTAGAGAAGAGCATTTCATGAAATATTACACTATATACTCATTATATTTTACTTTACCTGTTAATGATGTCTTAATTATTTAGTGTGTTTAAATAAAGCTGTTATGAAACACGTTATTACAGCCACTGTGTAAATTAATATATTTCAACAACAAATAGAAATTCTGAAGCTCATTTAAAACCTGCATTATGTGCAATTTACATGTTTGCATACAATTTTTAAGTTGAGTGTTGATTATTATAGTTAAAAATAAATAGTAATTCAACTTAGGCTCTGTTGTTAATTGTAACCTTATAGTAATGTAAAAGGGCTCCCTATAATTAGAGCATAAGCTGAGGTAGATTTTTATCCCTAAGAAAATTTTAATTATAACTGAATTTGAAAGAGCAATTTGTTCAGTAAAGCACTGTTTAGTAAAAAAAAGAAGAAGAAAAAAGCAATTTTATGTTTAGTTTTTTCCGCCTGCTGTATCGAAACCATGACGCTAAAACCGAGGTACGTATCGAACCGTCATGATTGTGTACCGTTATACCCCTAGTAACTACAGTGACTATTTCATTTAATGACAACCATAATGAAATAAAATGAGTTATTAATAAGTATTACAACCTCAACCGCCTGTAAAATCTTATTTACACAAGGAGGAAATATGCATCTGAATGGTAGCGGTAAATAATTGACATGACTTTCTCTCATTCATATCACAACTACATATTTTTGGATACCCAATTCAATAAATGTGACCCTGGAGCACAAAAGCAGTGTTAAGTCGCTGGGGGATATTTGTAGCAATAGCCAACAATACATTGTATGCGTCAAAATTATACATTTTTCTTTTATGCCAAAAATCATTAGGATATTAAGTAAAGATCATGTTCCATGAAGATATTTTGTAAACGTCCTACCGTAAATATACAAAAACTTAATTTTTGATTAGTAATATGCATTGCTAAGAACTTCATTTGGACAACTTTAAAGATGATTTTCTCAATATTTAGATTTTTTTGCACCCTCAGATTCCAGATTTTAAAATAGTTGTATCTCGGCCAAATATTGTCCTATCATAACAAACCATACATCAATGGAAAGCTTATTTATTCAGCTTCCGGATGATGTATAAATCTCAATTTTAAAAAAATTGACCATTATGACTGGTTTTGTTCTCCAGGGTCACAAATATAGCTCAAATCACATCCGCTGATGCGATGCTCCTGCTTTGATCTGACACGCTAATCATGCTTCAACGTCAACAACCTCGTTTCTTATCGTGCAGTGAAAAAATATGCTTGTGCTGTGAATCAGGCAGGGAATGTGCTCGTTCTGAACAGAAACACCAGTCATGTGTCCTATCGAGACAATCCAGCACAGACTGCGTGACTGTTAGTGTGTGTGATTGTATGTCGCATGTGCGTTAGCTCCTGGTTTGTGCTCAGTTCGTGTCTGATGAGTGAGGTAGCAGAGGCAGGGCAGCTTCGCTGGGGTCCGAGTTGCTCGAGCTCAACAGCGCCTCCATCTGCTTCTCCAGCAGCGCCGTCAGCTGGCTGCTCTTGTCTGCGCAGTCGTCTGTGAACTGCAGATAGGGCGTGTTCTTCAGAGCGTCGGGCAGACAGGGCACCAGGTGCAGCGCTCCGCCGGGCGTCACGCCCTTCACACAGGTGTAGAAGTCCTGTGGCGGCGTGAGGGCGGGGTTTAGAATCATGCTGTAGTCCATGCCTGGGACGCACATGAGCTCCGGGTGGGCAGAGCCAGGGTTTGAAGGAGGCGGGGCTCCTACACAATAAGGGGAGGGGCCATGGTTTGAAGGAGGCGGAGCTCCCTCACTGTAGGGGGTGTGGCCAGGGTTTAAAGGAGGCGTGGCTCCCTCGCAGTAGGGGGCGGGGCCACGGCAGTAGGGTGTTAATTGTAACCTTATAGTAATGTAAAAGGGCTCCCTATAATTAGAGCATAAGCTGAGGTAGATTTTTATCCCTAAGAAAATTTTAATTATAACTGAATTTGAAAGAGCAATTTGTTCAGTAAAGCACTGTTTAGTAAAAAAAAGAAGAAGAAAAAAGCAATTTTATGTTTAGTTTTTTCCGCCTGCTGTATCGAAACCATGACGCTAAAACCGAGGTACGTATCGAACCGTCATGATTGTGTACCGTTATACCCCTAGTAACTACAGTGACTATTTCATTTAATGACAACCATAATGAAATAAAATGAGTTATTAATAAGTATTACAACCTCAACCGCCTGTAAAATCTTATTTACACAAGGAGGAAATATGCATCTGAATGGTAGCGGTAAATAATTGACATGACTTTCTCTCATTCATATCACAACTACATATTTTTGGATACCCAATTCAATAAATGTGACCCTGGAGCACAAAAGCAGTGTTAAGTCGCTGGGGGATATTTGTAGCAATAGCCAACAATACATTGTATGCGTCAAAATTATACATTTTTCTTTTATGCCAAAAATCATTAGGATATTAAGTAAAGATCATGTTCCATGAAGATATTTTGTAAACGTCCTACCGTAAATATACAAAAACTTAATTTTTGATTAGTAATATGCATTGCTAAGAACTTCATTTGGACAACTTTAAAGATGATTTTCTCAATATTTAGATTTTTTTGCACCCTCAGATTCCAGATTTTAAAATAGTTGTATCTCGGCCAAATATTGTCCTATCATAACAAACCATACATCAATGGAAAGCTTATTTATTCAGCTTCCGGATGATGTATAAATCTCAATTTTAAAAAAATTGACCATTATGACTGGTTTTGTTCTCCAGGGTCACAAATATAGCTCAAATCACATCCGCTGATGCGATGCTCCTGCTTTGATCTGACACGCTAATCATGCTTCAACGTCAACAACCTCGTTTCTTATCGTGCAGTGAAAAAATATGCTTGTGCTGTGAATCAGGCAGGGAATGTGCTCGTTCTGAACAGAAACACCAGTCATGTGTCCTATCGAGACAATCCAGCACAGACTGCGTGACTGTTAGTGTGTGTGATTGTATGTCGCATGTGCGTTAGCTCCTGGTTTGTGCTCAGTTCGTGTCTGATGAGTGAGGTAGCAGAGGCAGGGCAGCTTCGCTGGGGTCCGAGTTGCTCGAGCTCAACAGCGCCTCCATCTGCTTCTCCAGCAGCGCCGTCAGCTGGCTGCTCTTGTCTGCGCAGTCGTCTGTGAACTGCAGATAGGGCGTGTTCTTCAGAGCGTCGGGCAGACAGGGCACCAGGTGCAGCGCTCCGCCGGGCGTCACGCCCTTCACACAGGTGTAGAAGTCCTGTGGCGGCGTGAGGGCGGGGTTTAGAATCATGCTGTAGTCCATGCCTGGGACGCACATGAGCTCCGGGTGGGCAGAGCCAGGGTTTGAAGGAGGCGGGGCTCCTACACAATAAGGGGAGGGGCCATGGTTTGAAGGAGGCGGAGCTCCCTCACTGTAGGGGGTGTGGCCAGGGTTTAAAGGAGGCGTGGCTCCCTCGCAGTAGGGGGCGGGGTCAGGGTTTGAAGCAGGCGTGGCTCCCTCGCAGTAGGGGGCGGGGCCACGGCAGTAGGGCGCAGGACTGCAGCTTGTCTGCGCAGGCGGTTGTCTGTCGGCAATCAGTGTGTCCTCGCATTTATACGGCGTCGCAGCCGGACATGGGTCCACGCTCACCTGGTAACACATCTCTATGCTGTACTGCGGCGACTTATAGCCGTGAAAGCTGGAGAAACGACGATTGATCTCGTCAATCTTCCCCTTCTGGAGGAACAAGAAAGGACAGAAGGTAAAGCAGGTGATCTAAACACTACTAATAACTCAAATGGGTGTGTGATGTGTGACGGACTCTCAGACCTTCAGCAGAACCGGTTCAATCCCTCGGATGCGCGGCTTGGGAATCGGTGGCAGGAGGAACGATTTAATTCTACAGGAGGAACACAAGCAGAGAAAGAAGTCAATGACAGCTAGTTATAATTACTAAAACCTAACCCTAACCCACACACTAACCCTTACAGAAAACAATTCAAAAGTACTTATTTACTTTGTTTTTACAAATGAGGCCAACCCCGAAAGGAGGTTTGCTCAGATTTAACTCACTTCAAAATATGTAAGTACACACTGGTTTTGGTCTTTTCATGGGGTTTTGCCATAGACTGCTATGAACCCTTTTCACAAGACTGTGATGATGCGTTTCAACGGTCATCAGCATCGTAAATCCTCAGGTTTTTCATAAAAAAACTAGTGGTGTTTCTAATGCAGCGTCTATGAGAGGGATTTGACATCGTTCTCTCTTCTGACTGCCGTTATCGGTCTCAATTTTTTTCCTTTTTTTAAAAGTCATGAAAACACTATCGTCGAGTTTTTCTTTTGTTATTTGAGCAAATGGGAATGCAAAAAATATATTTGTGGTCCTGTCCCATTCACTGCTCTCTAAGTTTACCCAACTATGACGACTTCTGCTGCTGAGAAACCTGGAAATGTGAAAAAGGTCTATTGTTTTCATACTGACCTAACAGCATTCTCTGTCTCCTGAACTCTTAGCCTCACAGAGATTCTTTCATACATATGGGGTTTTCTTAATAATGCATTTGGGTTTGTTTTATGTGTTTCTCAAAGCTAAGCATGCTACCAGAATTTGACAGATTTTCACTCAAAGTAAGAGAAAATTTGAAGGACGTCTGCAGATTCGTGACACTTCGTGACTAAACTGAACATCTGATCGAGACTCTGGATCCATGTCACCCAATGATGCAGATCTACAGATCCATCTGTGTAATTCACGTTAACAGTCCGTCGATACAGAGACCAGAACTCACTGACCTCTTGCCTCGCGGGGCGATCCCCAAACCCACGATGAGGAAGACCATGATGGCGATGCTGGTCACGAGGATCAAGGCCAATGTCCGATCTGAGAGACAGACAGAGCTACATTTAGAGCTGCGACTATCAGTCTGACAGACGGGTCCTGTGTGTGTGTGTGTGTGTGTGCGTGTGTGTGCGAGTGTGTGTGTGTGCGTGTGTGTGTGTGTGCAGCGCACCATGAACTCACACTTTCCCACCGGCAGATCCAACAACTCCACATGAGGCTCTCGCAAACGCTCTTTTACCTGCAGACACCAACAACACACTTCACCCACAAGCCCTCAAGCATAAATGTCTAAATGTCTTACAGTTTTTTTTCAACTGCTTACACACATTTTCAAAACGTTGCCTCTTTTTTTTCAAAACTTTACACACAAATCCAAGAATTGCACACACAAAATGCCTCACATCTCTTGCAAAATGAAGCACTGCATTCAAAATATCACAGACACATCTCAAAAGAAAACATTTGTCTTACGTTGCAAACACCTTTGCCATAATATTATATTTTTAGACATATCATATACACACAGTTATTCAAAACCTAAAGCTCTTCTTTCATAAGCTCCTGTGTACATTTTCAGTTGAAAAAACCCTGTAATTTCTGTTCTACAGTTATCGTAATGAAAACGGAGGCACTGTAAGCAGACTGGTGTCGTACCCTCCAGTTGTCTGGCTGAGCGAGGTGTCTGTAGCGCAGCTCGTAGACGAGCGTGATCCATCCCTCGCGCACCTGAGACTCAATCGGATTCAGCCAGGACAGCAGAATACTGCGGCCCGATTCACCCACGCTCTCGTTCAGCATGATGTACGACAGGTTAAAGGGCGGGTCGATCTCCACTGGGGACGAAGCACATGAGACTCGTTAACAGACATGATGAAACATCAACGCTCCAGCAAACCTCAGGAGAGTTCATTAAGACAAGCTGAACATTTATAATCATGTCGTTGAGGCATTTAGAACCATTTTCGGTTCGCAAAGATCCTTTCAGTGGTCAGTTCTTAAAATAACCTTTTCAATGTGTTTAATAGTCTAAAGAACATTTTTCCACTGTTATCTTTTTCAGTTCATTTAGGAACTGTTCAATGAAAGGTTCTTTGGGGAACCAAAAATGGTTCTCTTTTGCATCGCTTCGATTGCTCCTTTTGGGACCTTTATTTTTAAGAGTGTAAAAAATGTTGTATCCAATGGAATAGGGCTGGGGGAAATAAATAGATGCACTGCGAATCGAGAAATGATTCGATTCTGAGATTTTCAGAATGCCTCACGATTCTCTCTGGAATTGATTCTGAGCTTAGTTTTGAACAGTAGATGGCGCTGCATGCTTTAGAAACAGCCGTACTCTGCTTGTTTCCAAATCCTTACTCACACTTGAACCTAAAATAATCCTTCATAAAGTTCGAAAAGGTTGAAGCGAATTACAAGGGTGTTCACAGTGGGCTGTGTTTACATTAATCTGGCGTCATAAAAGCATTCTGAGCCGAGGTGCTCTTCAGCGCACTTCTTTGTGAGTATTTGAGTCTGCGGTTAAAAATGAGATCAGAGCACCATCTGCTGTTAAAAACTAAGCTCAGAAACTATTCCAGAGATAATCGCGATGCATTCGGAAAATCTGAGTATTATTAGTAGACTCTCTGCTTAATGTCTTCTAACACTTTATTTTGATGGGTCCACAACATACTGACTATAAGAAACTTTGCAAGTATATGTCAACTTATTCTACTAACCTTAAACCTAACCTAACGGTCTACTCTGAGAGATAATAGACATGTAGCAGCAAATGAATGAGAATTAGTTGACAGGTAGTTGCAAAGTTACTTATAGTTAGTAGAATGTCTAAAGTGGAGTATCAAAATAAAGTGTAACCCTTTATTTTAAGAGTTTATGGATGTTGAAAAGGCTGTTTATGGAAACGCCGATGCCAAAAAAGAAGTGTAGGGCGAGATAAACACGCAGACTCTTTGGGATATCGCAATAAGAAAACTGCATGTATGCTAGGTTGAGAAAGATAAATAAATGTCTGTGCCGAGCTCATTGGATGAAACTGGAGAACTGCAGTCAGAAGAGTTGATACTAATACTAATATTTCCTATGTCAGCTGTGTCTTCAGTGTAATGCATCACCTATATCAGCGACGTCCACGCAGTGTTTGTGGGAGGCAATGGGTCCGGCGCGTGTGTGCGCCGTCACGTTCATGCAGTACATCTCCCAGACCTGAGTGTGTCTGGCATCGAAGAAGCAGCTGTTGATGCCGCCGCTCACGTAATCGGGACACTCCTGAGGAGTGCGCTCACTGCGGGGCGACATGACCACTATTCATTTCATCATCTGATCACCAGCAGCATTTACACTCTACAGATACACTAGATCAGTGTTGTTTCTGTAAAGTGTGTTTCACTCATGTCTCACCCCGTGGTGTACTGGAGCGTGTAGGTGACGTTGTCCTGATTCGCGATTGGACGCCACCAGCAGGTGAAGATCTCCATGTTGGGCGAGCGGCAGCGGTAAATATACGGCCTTGTTCCATCTGCAATGTAAGAAACAATGACTTACGATCTCAATGAAGACGTTAATTGACAAAGTACATTCTAAAACCGTTTTTTAAAGTCAAGGCACATTCAGCTTTAATGATTACTCTATTAGCGTCCACAGCAATACGCAATAATGTTCTGATTATTATAAGTGCATGCTGCAGTTTTATTGTTGACTTGATTGCACAGATGCTATTTGAACTGATCTGAGCTGATGATGACATCACTGAATCAACGATGAACTGACTTTAACTGGAAAACTGACTGTTTGCTATCGTGCTCTTTTTAGAGCTGCTTTACAGCAGAATTGAATTTTGTTAGCATTATCGACACACTGTTTTCCTGTGTACAGCTATTTTGACACAATCTGTAGTGTATAAAGCACTATAGAAATATAGCTGACTTGACTTAAAGGGAAAGAGCTTACACTATGCAAACTAGGTGTACCACAAGGTTCAATATTGGGTCCATTGCTTTTTTGTTTCTATATAAACGATTTACCTGAAAGTTGCAAGGAGGTTGGTTGTCAAATGTATGCAGATTACACAATTATTTATGTAATAGCAGAAACTTCTCATCTGGCTGCAGAAATGTTAACCAGGCAATTGATCAGTGGTTGCAGGACAACTGTTTAACTTTAAATTACAACAAAACCGTTTCAATGTGTTTTTCATTAAAGAACAAAGCACTGGATGTATTTAAAATCAAAACTGACCAAAAGGAAATCAAGGAAGTGAGTGAATGTAAATATTTAGGTGTCATTGTAGACTCTAAGCTTAAGTTTGATGCCCATATTAAGAAAATATCGAAGACTTTTAAGACAATTTTAAACTGTTTTCGTATGATAAGACCATGTATATCTCTTAAAGCAGCTCAAATGTTTATGCATGCTTTGATATTATCACATATGACTTATTGTGTGATAATTTGGGGTCAGGCTTCCCAATCAGTTGTAAAGCCTGTAATGTCTGACACAATTATTTATGTAATAGCAGAAACTTCTCATCTGGCTGCAGAAATGTTAACCAGGCAATTGGTCAGTGGTTGCAGGACAACTGTTTAACTTTAAATTACAACAAAACCGTTTCAATGTGTTTTTCATTAAAGAACAAAGCACTGGATGTATTTAAAATCAAAACTGACCAAAAGGAAATCAAGGAAGTGAGTGAATGTAAATATTTAGGTGTCATTGTAGACTCTAAGCTTAAGTTTGATGCCCATATTAAGAAAATATCGAAGACTTTTAAGACAATTTTAAACTGTTTTCGTATGATAAGACCATGTATATCTCTTAAAGCAGCTCAAATGTTTATGCATGCTTTGATATTATCACATATGACTTATTGTGTGATAATTTGGGGTCAGGCTTCCCAATCAGTTGTAAAGCCTGTAATGTCATTATACAAACAAGCCGTGAGGAGCACTTTATTATAGATGGACGCACTTTTTGGGCTTCAAAATCTGGACCACCATTCACTGACTATATAAAGCTTGGAAGAGCCAGGATGTTTTTAAATATAACTCCAATTGTATTCATCTGAAAGAATAAAGTCATTTACACCTAGAATGGCTTGAGGGTGAGTGAATCATTGGCTAATTTTCATTTTTGGGTGAACTATCCCTGTAATGTAAATTGAGCATTTGCTAAGGATCTGATCACCCTGAATGGTGTAGAAACAACTCTAGTGTTGACCTGGATCTTGTCTGTAATAAATCAAGCTCTTTGGGTTGATTGATTGCTCTACTGGAAGCAGATAAGAGTTTTATGGCAGGTGTTGTAATTTCTAACTGCAACATCAAATGTGAACATAAAACTTTATGAGGAAGAACAACATATTGTGGGCAATGAAGACAATTAAAAATCAGTTGTGTTCTTGATTGGTCAATCCAGTGATCCAATAACAGCACCCCTGACAGTAGCGCTAGTCAATCATTAGCGTAGCACAGAATACACATCCTTCTCGCCTTCATGCTATTGGACGCTGGTAGTGGGCGGAGCAGATCTGACTGTGAGTTTGATTGACAGTCACATTCAAATATTCTCCCTGAACATGAAACACCAAAAGATTCACTGCTCTAATCAGATGGAGCGCGTGCTCATCTACGGATACCGACTCGCTTATTATATAGTCGCATGTTTATTTGCTAAGAGCAAAACTCACACAAAACACTCCATTATGCAGGTTTCTCTGCCCGTTTGAGATTATGACATGTGGGCTAATGCTAGCAACTATGCTAATCTGATTTAGCCACTACGCATTCCTACAAAACACAGACACAGAGAGCACGTTGTGAGCGAGTAATAAACACAGCAATGAGCGGTTAAAACCGGCTTAAAAATTCAGCAGAGTTTGTAGAGTTCATACAGAATCATTAGAGAGGCTGCTTGACTGGTTATTTTAGATCAGTCAGTTTTTACATTGAGTTATTAAAGAAGGTAATGCAAAAACATTAAAATACTGCAACACTGAATACATAATGCAAAAACAATAACTCAGAATATAAATCGCAGTTCACACTGCCTTTAAAAGCCAGCAAAACTGAACATGAACACTGACACACTCACACGCAC